CCCATTAACCACCAACAACACAAGAAGTGGAGCTGTGGTTCAAGTGGTAGAATGCTTAACCTTGAGTAAGAAAGCACAAGGGCCTAAACACTGTCCAGGCCCTGAATTCAAGCCACAGGACCTGCACTAAAAGGGAGGAAGGTAGGGGAGAGGGAGAGAGAGGAAGAGAGAGAGGGAGAGAGGGGGAGAGAGAGAAAGTGAGAGGGAGGGAGAAAGGGAGGGAGGGAGAGAGAGGAAGAGAGGGAGGGAGAGAGGGAGGGAGGGAGGGAGGGAGGGAGGGAAGGAGGGAAAGGTGGGGGGAGGGAGAGAGAAAACACAGAGCTTAGAAATAAATGTAACTGCTAGGCAGTAATAGTTGAGATGTCATAGCTACTAGACAAGAATATACTTTAACTGTAGTTTCCTTTGTACTGTTCTGTGTAATAGAAAACATTTTTAAAAAGTGAAAATAAATGTTCTTTGAATTCACCTTATAATAACTATATACCAGTAAAGTGGAATCTGAAGTCATATTTGTGCTGTTAGATCTCTGTTCCAGAATATTCCTTGAAATTAATTTTTTATTAGCTTAATTCTCCTAAAGGACTCCAATAAACTGGTATTTTGTTTTGAAAGAGGAATTAACAATATTAATGACAACATTAAATTCTCAGGACTGCTTACATTATATTCCATATATATATATATATATAGAGAGAGAGAGAGAGAGAGAGAGAGAGAAAATTATTTTTGAAAATCAAGAAATTGGACTCAAAAGTCCTAAACATCTTAGATCTTTCTTTTGTTTTTTTTTTTTTGGGGGGGGTGTCCGGTCGGGGGACCTGAACTCTGGGCCTGAGCACTGTCCCTCAGCTCTTCAGCTCAAGGCTAGTGCTCTACCACTAGAGCCACAGCGCCACTTCCGGCTTTTTTCTTTTTGCTTATGTGGTGCTGAGGAATCAAACCCAGGGCCTCAGGCATGCAAGGCAAGCACTCTACTACTGAGTCAACTTCCCAGCCCCATCTTAGATCTTTCTACAAAAGAATTGCTAAATTATTTGGGAGGGACAGGAGATGAAGAGTTTAGATGAGTTTTTTAGTAGTGATTAAGTTATAATTAATCAGTGCTTATCAACCTAAAAATCATTCAAAAATGATTCTTCACAAACTAAAAGACAAAGGCCTACTAAAACTGATATATAAGAAAATGTCAAATTCTATAATATAAATCACTATATATTAAACATATAGGTAAATTATCTATAAAATATGAATAGAAATGTTTAAAATTCTGTAATTTTCACCCCAAAATGCAATTTGCAATGGAATTTAGGTAGCCAGATACTGTATTTAATGTCTAATAATAACAGTAATTATCATTTACTCACAAATATACTACACACCAAAGATGAGCATGGTTCCATTATGCAAATATAATCTCATTTAAACATAACAACACTAGTGCAAGTTAAATATTGTCTGTTTTTTTTTCTTTTTTTGGGGGGGGCGTCGATTGTGGGTCCTGAACTCTGTGCCTGGGCGCTGTCCCTCAGCTCTTCAGCTCAAGGCTAGCGCTCTACCACTTGAGCAACTTCCGGCTTTTTCTGCTTATGTGGTGCTGAGGAATTGAACCCAGGGCCTCATGCATGCAAGGCAAGCACTCTACCACTGAGCTACTTTCCCAGCCCAATATTATCTGCTTTTAATAAAAGAAAAATCTGAAGCCCAACATATAGTCATAACTAAAAAATTTAAAGAGTGTGGAGTTTCAAGGGTCTGATTTTAAAACTCATTCATTTGTATATCACTTTGCTCCTAATAAAACTAAACAGTCAATCCTCACCTTGGAGATTCCATATTTGCAAATTCACCTACTAACTAAAATTTTTTAACTCCTCAGTCAACACTCACAGAGCTTTGAAGTCATTCACAGACTTGTGTCAGTGGTAGATTTTGATAAGTCATCTGATGTACATGTACATAAACAGCTGAAGTCAAAGAAATGATTTTCTGTCCTCTTGTTTCAGCTTTGCTACTGTCAACAAATGTCCTCTCTGTAATGTACTTAGTGCCTTGTTGGTTGCATTTTTATGCTTTATCTAGTGAATTCATTCTTTATTACCCCCTACTACACTGCTGAAAAGTGCAATGTGACTTTACGAAGCACAAAGGTTACTATAAACCGTATTCAGGCCTAAATTACAGTGCCATTGACTTCAAATGTGAAAGAATCAACCAATACAACATAAAAACTTTAAGTATAAACATATATATGTTACATATTCATTGGTTGATGAAAATGCTGTGACTTCAGCCTCACAGGAAGCTAATCTGTCATTCCCTTAGGAACAATGGCTCAGTATTTCCTAATTCAGAGATCATACTGACATCATAGAACAGAATAATGAAAACCTACTGAATATTCCCTCCAAGTTAAAATGAATACATTGGTATTTTAGTTAAACATTTTTCTACTCTCATTTCCTTCAAATATGTTACAATGACATATATATCTACATATGTACATATACATATATATGACTGTATGACCACATATATATATATATATATATATACACATATATATATACGTACACACACATATACATAGACACACAGACACAGTCATCACTTGCCTATAAAGATACTTTTTTTGCCATTCTGTTTAATGGGTCGCAGCTTCGTGTGTGACTTTGCTCAGAAAATTAATCTCTCTTAAAAGCAATTCATCTTTCCAATGTGACTCTAAGGCAATTACATTTCCTTTTTTATTATAGAAAGTAATGAATAGTTTAAAGATTATTTTTTGGGAGATTAATATTTTAAATTTATTATCTGTATATAACTGAAGCAAGAAGAAAAACAATTTTGCATAGAAATTGTAAAGTATCAACACAAACTAGAACTCTTACCTTTCTTGCCTAAATCAGAGATTTTATTAAAAAAATAATTTACAGTACTTGAAAATTCAAGCAAGGACAATTCAGGGTTGAAAGAAAAACTGAAACAGTCCATTGTCTTCAGTAAAATTTTGAATACAAAAGCATAGACCAGGAAAACACTTCATGGCCTAATGCACTAGGTTCCATGATAAACACACATATGTAGTATATCTCCATCAAGGGAAACTTAATCACCTTTTTGCAATTTAAAAAGGAAAGGCAGATTTTAGTATGGTTAAGCCATGTATCATCAATACCATGAAGCTAGCCTATCAGGTGTAATAGCTTCTATAAAATACCACAGTGAGATTGCAATAAGCCTAGAAAATGGGCTACAAATCCCAGCTATGCTCAAGCAAGCAGTGAACCAAAAATAAAAATAGGTAAAACTAAACCAAGAACTAGATAGCATTCATCTAGATTCATGATTGGTAAGGCAAAGTTCATTGGCCAAGGTTTTAAAGTGACTTTTTCAGATCCAAAAGATAGTCATTATACAAATGAAAGCATTTATGTAATTCAGTTGAAAAAGTAAAATATGAAATTTACCTCCAAAGATACAGCTTAATTTCGAAGATGCTTACTTGCAATTATATATATATAATTATACTGTTAATGATATAAAGGTAAAGAGACTCAAATTTGTACTTTATAATGTTTAATCCCTCCATTGTAGGCAGATATCACATATTTTGCTTAATATATTTGTTGAAATTCTTCAGATTATAATAACTTTAGGCAAAAGTAATGTCATCTTTAAGTTTCTTTTCCAAACTTATTTGATTTGGCTTTTAAATGTGAATTAACAAACAATCCATACAATATAAAAATACACATATTAAAGCACGTTGACTTAATCAATAATAGGAACTAAATATAAACATTTTAAAGAACTAAAATGGCCTGAACTTAGTATAGTGTCTAAATTACACCATCAATAGAAATGTTACATTTCCCCTTACTCAGCGAAAACGAGTTCATGCAAGTACTTGTGAAATGCAGTGACACATAAAGTCTGCCATTTTAAGGAAAAACAGGCAACGCTCCCTTTTTGCAATCATGATATAAAACAAAACACAATGCTTGAAAAATACCAGATTTCTTTCACATGACTTCATTACACTCTAAGCCAAAATAATAACTGTGATGTACTTCAGGTATCAGACAAATAGATCATTTAAAGGGTAATAATAAATGAGTCTATTAGCGTAGACTAGTTATCACTTTGGCTAGTTTAAGAGTAAGATGATTTTTACAGTACAATAAAAACTATACTATAAAATACAATGAACTTGAAATACAGAGGATATTATCCAAGTAAAAAGACAACTGAACAAAATACAAACTCTAGCAAAGATTATTAATCTTACCTATTACTTATCTTAGCCCTTGTTAAAAACCCTGAGTAAAATGTATTTCTTAAATAATGCTGGTTATAGAAGACTCTCTGAATCTGAACCATAAATGTCAACACAACACTTTTTTTTATTTACAACAGTCAGATATGTAAAAACTCATTCTTAACCAGTCATAATATACACATTAAGGAATACTTAGGTTCAATCTGGAAGTTTTCAATGTTCTATCTTTTGTCAGCACTTTGGCAAATAAAGTAATACATAAACGGATTCAATGTAAAATATCATAAAAGAGAAAAATATATAAAATTTACATTAGTTTCTATCCACTCTTGGCCAACCTAGGTATCTAAAAACCCTCCCCAATCAGGTTCACTTCTGCCTAAAAGGAAAAATACCAGTCCTCCAGCAAAAACAGCCCCATCTTTCATCAAGGAGGCTCTCACTTCAATGATATTCCTCCTGGGAAGAGGACAGGAGCCAGGTTCCCTCGAATGTCATTCCCCAGGTGTTCAAAACGTAACTAATTTATTAGCATTAGCAGATTTGGTTTATAGGGGAATCTCACTGGTCCAGTTTGTAGCCTACAAGAAAATGGATTATTTTTAAGTATAATATTAGAATGTAAATAAAGGATGAGGATGTGGCTTTTTTTATTCCATAGAAATGGAAATTTTTCCAAACATGACAATTTTATTTTTTTAAAAAAAAGCATGCCTACCATTGAAGTTGGAGCCCCTCCAGGTTTTTTAATATTCTTTGAAGACATTCCATGAAGGCGACTGAGTCTAGCTTGGAAACCTGGAAAATCAGAACACTCAAATCAGAAGATATTGTAATCACTGGAGCAAAGAAGACTCTATCAATAGAGAATTAAAAGCAAATTGGTGGTAAAGACGAAAACCATGAATATGACTGGAAAAAAAATGTACAACTTGTTCTTAAAAGAACAAAAGCAATGTCAAAGGGTTCTAATGTAGTCAGCACTTTTAACTTTATAGAATAACATTCAGGGTGTTTCTTTCTCCCAATTCACATTTCTCCTTGAGCTTAGCAAGAAAACAAGTCAATTTTTTTCATTAATTCTAAGGTATGATGTAGTAGCGAAATTAGTAGTCAATCTGCTTTATAGCATTAACCTACTTCTTCGTGTTTGCATATTCGAACTGCCACGGTATGCTAACCTCTTTCCATGAGCATTCCTAGACTGACACTATCAGGATCATTATGTTCCCCAGTGAGGGAGGGCTACTGACCTCTTCTTCCTGGATGTGACATGAGGGGAAAAGAACCAGTTAAGATACTTTCAAAGACAGGATCAGGTAAGTCTTGGTCTAGCTCAGTAGGATCTTCCTTTTCCCACCAGGGCACAACTCCAGTGATGCCACATGCTCCCCCTGACTCCTTTTCATAGAACCAGTCACTCTGCTCATCATCACCTGTGGAAATACAAGAAATTCCCCAAACATTCAGGTTTATCATTGGAACACGTAATTCAGGCTCTGAGATAATAAAAATACCAGTCAAATTTCAATTTCAGATAAACGTTTAGCTTTTAATCTAAGTATGCAGTATTTGCTTTAAAGTTTTATTGTGAGTGTCCCAAGGATTGCATATGACACAGCTGTACTAAAATACCAGAGAACCTAGTACTTTAAGTCATAATCATTAAAAAAAAAAATTCTTTAAAACAAAAACCTTTCACTTCATACCACAGCTTCATTTAAAAGGAAAAAAAAAATTCTGTAATTCAGTAACAAGCACAGGTATCACCAAAAACATAAAAATGTTATGTACAAGCACAGGTATCACCAAAAACATAAAATGTTATGCTTCAAACTAATTTTAAAAAGGTAAAAAACTACTATTATATCTGGCAAATTCAGAAACAATCAGGAAATGCACTTAACTTACTAACCTTTTCACATTAAGCAAGAATTAAAAGGACAAAAAACCCAAAAACTGTAGAATCTGGTTTGTTCCAACTGATAGACATATAAATATCATGAATAGAAAAGGGAAAATAAAAATATGTGAATCCAGAAGTTAATCCAATTAGGTTCACAAAGAATTTTGAAAAGTAACTTTAAATGAAAAGGACAATATGCAGTTTATGAATTATACTGAACTACTTCAACCAAAGTTTTAAAAATCAACATTAGTCAATCGTGTTGACTTTTGGAAATGTCCAAGTATAACCATGGCATTATGAACAGCCAATTTAAAGCTCAGTTACACATAAGCCCTTGGTGAGAACATACATTTTGGGTTTTTAGAAGTTATTAAGAGCTACATAAGGAGCTGGGAAGGTAGCTCTGTGGATAAGAGTGCTTGCCTTACATGCATGAAGCCCTGGGTTCGATTCCTCAGCACCACATAAACAGAAAAAGCCAGAAGTGATGCTGTGGCTCAAGTGGTAGAGCCCTAGCCTTGAGTTGAAGAGCTAAGGAACAGCACCCAGGCCCAGAGTTCAGGCCCCATGACCGAATCCCAACCCCCCACCCCCACCACAAAAAAAAGAAAGAGCTATATAAAAGAGACAGAAATAGATTATGAGATAAAATAGAATACAGATGGTTATAAAAATGGTATACAAAATTTTGACTATTATCTGAATCATTAAAGTCTTCTCTATATCAGTCTTAAAAGCCAACCAATAATTCTGATTTCTAAGATGGTTATATAAATCTGCCAACTTTTTCCATTTGGAGAAAAAGGGTGTATGCTGTAATTCCAACTAATCTACAGAGGAGGCTGAGGCAGGAGGACCGAGAATTAAAGCAAGCCTGCGCTACGTAATAAGATCTAGTTTCAAACTACTTTAATTAAGATATTACTTTAAAATTACTCAGTATAATGAACTTATTTGAATTTTTAGATGATTTACAACTTTATCCTTAGAAGATAAATCTAAGAACCAACTAGCAATCCATTGTTTAATAACACTGAGAAAGTTACTTCTGCTAATTCCTCACTTTAAAAACCTGAGGTTTTACTTAAAGGATGAAATAGGAACATATGCAAGAAAAAACAAAAACAAAAAAAACCACTTTGTAATGTGAGATGCATTAGTAATGAATGCTAGCATATCTTTCTGAGTCACTCAACGCTCTCTAAAGATTAGCAGCTTACACAAGAGGTATTTTTTAAAAAGGTTTCATTACTTTGTTTCACTACTAGTAACAGCATTTATGACATGTTCTTCGATAAAGATCTACAATTTAATAGGCATCTGTTATCAAAACAGTTAAGCTTACTTTGGACTCCAAGGTCCTGACATATTTCAGACTAACCTTTAACTTGAAAAGCCTATGGACAAACTGATATGTACCTCTTTATCTGTGACAACTGTTTTTTAAGCAAGGAAAAAAGTGTGATCTTTCCACCTACACAACTCATATTGTCAGGAGGACAGATAGACTAAGAAAAATATAGTCATGGTCAATACTTTGTCCTTTAAAAAATAACATCATTAAATAATGTATACTTCAAATACACTATCTTACTTTTCCTTTTAAACTGTCTTCTAATATATAATGGAAGAAACATCCGTATGTATTAGCTTAATTTCATGTATGGAGAATAAAACAACAGTTATGAGCAGATGTGACTATAGAGAACAAATCTGATCAAGGATTAATCCTCTTTACATGCTAAGGTCTTTCCTACTTTTCTTTGCTTCAAAATACTCCATGTTCTAGTATGAAAAGGTTTGAGAAGTTTCAGAGCTAAAAATCATCTAAGATGTAAGAGACATCTATTTAACAGTTTACAGTATTTGTGTAAGTTATCTAAGTACTTCCAAACTGGATAGGATGAATAAATATCCCAGCAAAATAAAGTTGCCAAATGACTTATTTGTAACTCCACCTTCAAGAATGTTTAAACAGTTTTAGATATATTTGGAACCATGTGGACAATTAAAACTATTGTCTTGAGAAGTTGCTAAAAGAGACAAAATTGAAAAGATGAAGAAACATGCTTTCTAAGAAAGCTAATCCTTCCTTAGTGTTATAAGGGCCCCATAATAGCTACTGGAAATAGTTCATTACTGTTAATCAGGAAAGCAAGACACCTTCCATACCTTGTAAAATACTAACTCAATATTGAGCCCTAGTCTAGCAACTAGTGTTTGTAATATAAATGGACTGTAGTTATCATCTCAAGAAACAACCAGTAATAAGCATAACTTTAAAATGGAGATTTTTTTTTCCAAAGAAAGAAAAATAAAGAGCATTTCAGTACCTTGTCTTCCCTCATCATTGGTAAACAAACCAGCATCAGTGCTGCTGAGACTGCTGGAATCACTGTAATAAAAGGGAAGAAAAGAAAAAAGAAAAAAAAACAGATCAAAAGAACAATTGATCTCTCAGATGTAAAATTTTAAAGAGACATGGCAGCTCAGGAATGGAACTTGAGCCTGACAAAGATCTGAAAGAAAATAAGATGACTTTTATTTTTAAATCAATTTGCAAATACCTGGTGCCATCAACCACGGAGCATTTTTTTTTTTTTTTTGGCACATAAAGCCACAGGAATCTAATGGGACCCTGACAGTAAGCCAGATGTGACTGTAAGGAGGGGCTGACACAATTGATGCACTTTATTATCGGCTTTCATCCTAACACTCATGGTTTCCATCTTATGCTGTGTGACTCGACTTGGGTCTTAAACACTAATGCTTACTGAAATGAGGAAAGCTCAATCAAAGCAGGCTAGTACTTTTCTCTGTACATGAAATACAAGGGCCTACAATAAAATTACTTTTTGGAGCCACACTTTCAAATATTACAGACATTACTTAAGAATTCACCAAAACTCTATTACTTGTAAGAAAGAAAACAACAACAACAACTATGGGATGGTGGCAACCCATTAAATAAAAATTAAGTTCACTCTAAACAACAAAAAATAAAATAAAAATTAAGGAGATATAAAAAAATTCCTTGGATACTATTACTTCAACAGAAATTTGAGAATATGACTAGGATTTAAGCAAATTAAAATAAATAGCAGATGCTCACTTATCATGACTAGTCAATTCTAATGGAAGGAAATGATAGTTGTGGCCTCTCAAGAAAACTGAGTGAAGTTCATTAAAAATTCTCATGTACACTTTCCTAATTTAAAATACAATTCTTAATTTTATCCAATCAAGAAATATACTAGGGTGATTTTAATTAAAATATTTACAGCATTTAGAACCAAAAGTAATTGACCTATTTTAAAAAGGTATTTTAACCTGCTTTAACATTTTTAAATTGAGACATTTATGGTAACATTTATTGATAGCTATTGATAGATTGACAGATTGATAGATATGAATTGACCTATTTTTCTGAATATTATCAATGTTCACTTATTTGCCATTAAAAAATAAGTATAAGTGAAGGATTTAAGCATTTGTCAAAAGATATGTGGCATATAATTCCAAGGGATTTCAAGACTTTTTTTATTTTCTTCAAATTAAGTAAATGTATGAAGTTCCCAATACTATAAATTTGATGATAAAACACTGTTTTCTAAGAACATCAAATCCATATTGCCTTACTGACAAACATACAGGCACAGTAATGACAAAATTAAGGTACTGGCTCAGCATAGTGGCATATTCCCGTTGTCCCAGTTCCAAGGGAGATTTAAGCCTGTAGAATCAATGTCCAACTGAGTTCTTATCTTAAAAAACCCAAAAGTAAAAGGGCTAGGGAGTATGGCTCAAAAAATCAGAGTGTCTTCCTTCATGCTCAAAGTCCTAAGTTCAAATCCAAGTACATCCAATAGCAAAGTATCAAAACACATCATGAACTTTATCTTATATGCTATTTAGGGGTTCAAAGTACTATTGATACTCTGCTTTGGTATTTTTGTTACCTCTGGCCCTTATCAAATGAAGGTCCTTATGTATACCTCAGGGTACAATAACTTTTTTTGAGAAACTGAGACAAAATATATTTAAACTTTAAACTTATTTGAATTTTAGAAAATGTACTCAGAAAAGCCTCAGAAGAGTTATTCATAATATTTTATACATTATAACTCTAAGTTAAGCAAATGTCAATGTACACTAAATACAGTCCAGTTAAGTGTGGCACAATTAAGTTAGTTTTCACAACTTTTCAGCAAACTTTCAGAGTGTCCATGTGTTATTTTTTTAGTACCATGATCTTATCTGAGTTCAGATTTTGCCACCCGATATGTATTCTATTTATTGCCTGGTTAATCTTTTCAAACTTAACTATTTGACTAAACGTAGTATGATAACCTGGAACAGAAAAAGGACTTTAAGTAAAAGCAAGGAAAATTGTTATAAAAGGTGGATTATCCTTAAAAACATATATTGCTTTCTAAATTGTGACAGGGTCAGCATAGTGATGTATGGATAATAACAACAGAGAAATTGGGTGTGTGTTATATGGAAATGGAAATGTGATACACATGAACTCCGCAATTTTTATATCAATTTATGTATTTCAAATAAAGAAGGTTATAAAATACGCAGTTTTAAGACAGATCTAAAACCTTTCACTAGAAGGATTAGAGGTCAATTGAAGTTAAAACAACAACAATAATAAAACACTGTTACCAAGATTGGGCTAGGTAAATATGAGTTATTTCACTGCTAAAAGTTCCCCTTGTCCCTAGAAAGAAGTCAAATCACTCACATATTACAAGTGGCCTTCAAAAACTGCAGCTCAGTATGCTTCCCCAAATACCTCACCTGTTTCACAATCCATACCTTTGCACAAGCCACTCTCTCTACCTAGACATGACATTTTCCTCTCTCTACACCTCTTTTTTTCCAAATAAGTCTTTGTCCTTCCATTAAAGCATAGGAAGTCTCCCTTCCCAGCACACCTCTGTCAACATGTTTTTGTGCCCACTCTAGCCTAGGATTGCTGAGGATAGTCTGTATTATCATCAGTGCACAGCATATAGCAGTGAATCAAATGTTTGTTTCATCTCATTTCTCCTCCTCCTCATCTCTCACACAACCATACAATTATAAATTATTTCCAAGAAACTATGTAGCTTTTTATAATAGGAAAATCCTGAAAAGTAGTCTCAAAAACATCTGTATTTGTTAAGATACTTTAAATATTCAGCAATATTCTTATGGAAGAAATTTGTACCTAACCCTGAAGTGACAACAATAAATTATAAGAGAAAAGATTAAAATCAAAGAAAATGTATTATGTTTTACTTTGTTCACAAACGCAAATATCCTCTTGAAAAACTTGTACATTCACTGTTAACTACTACCATTATTTAATAAAGACTCAACTATATATTTTTTTCTAATGAAGAAAAAAAAAGGAATTTCATCTCACTTCTGTTCCTGCGTACATGTCCTAAGTAGACCAATACAAGGCAGACATCAAACTAATAAATAAATTTTTTGTTTAAAAATGTAAAAATGTAAAAGAAGGCAGACATCAAACTAATAAATAAATTTTTTGTTTAAAAATGAATCCAGAAAAGTTGGTAACCTAACAGTGAATAGCTCCTCTTAGGAACTGAAAACAATAATTAAGTTTGGCTGAGCACTGCTCAGTCACAATGGTTACTGTACAAATAATTCTGATTCTCATGTAAAGCTGATGACTATCTTGAAAGGACAGAGACCACAAATTTTTTAAAATTTCCATGAAACATATTATCACTTTAAAAAATTACATAAATAGTAAATTATGTTTAATAAGAACATAAACGGTTCTATAAACTCTTACCAGGTTCTCATCCTATCTGAAATAATAGTTACAACCTAAAATAATTAGATCTCATAGGCTATCATCACATCATTAAAATGTTCCTAATGCTATAAACTAAAAAATCAAATATTCTCTCAGATTTGATTTTACTAGTTTATCATCAGGCATTTAGTTTCAGGGACACAGACCTAAAATGTTGAACAGTGTCAATACATCTCATTTCTTACAAGTATTACCAGTGCTATATAAAAGAAAAATGATCACTTACCTTTTGATGTTTAAAAATACTATATACCAGTTATCATGGTGGTATACCTATTTATTAGAATGGACAGATTAGACTAACTACAAAGTGTCATTGCTTCTTGCATTTTTCTAATGACAAAGATTAGGTAGCGCTGGGTTATGTAAAACCATAAGTAATGTTTTCTAATTTGTAAGTAATAAAAATCCTTAGCAAGCTACCGATATTTTAAAATATAAAGGCAAGGCAAATATATATTGAGGAGGAAGCAAATTTTCAATTCATAGGAATGGGAGTAGCAAATTATGTACTTTATAAAGCTCCAAATACTAATACTCTATAATTACAGAAATAATTAAATATATAATTCTATGAATTATAAATATGGTCTTATTCAAATGCATATTTTCCAACTGAAAATTCCTTTCTGATTCTTTTTGTAGCTGAAAATTAAGTCATTATAACACAATCAAATCACTTTGTTTAAATCAAATAAGCAATTCTGTGCCGTATAAAAACATCATAAATTATAAGGAAATATAACCATACTTAAAATATAACACTGCTATCATAATTACAATTTATAATTATTTTAAAATAGAATTAATTAAAATATAAAACACTCAACCACAAACATTAAAGACAAAGTTTCAAATTTAGAAAATGTAAGTCACCTTTCACTCATGAGTTCATCTGAGACTTTTTGTTCTTCATATTCCATTTTGTCCTTATTGGTCTGGCTTACTTCCTCATTTTCTAAAACAACTCCTTCATCTTGGATTTTTGGTCCTTGTCTAATTATTTTCAACTTTCTTTTTTTAACTTTATTCTTCGTAAACTCTTGATATTGATAAGCTCTGTTGTCCATGTCCTGATCTCTACAACCTTCAGGTGGCTGGGTCATTGTCCGTTTGTTAGAAAGATCCTGTGGGAGATCTACTGCCATGCGTTTTACCTTCCTCCTCCTGCGGAGAGTCCTGTTCCCAAGGTTGTCTACAGCAAAATCAGACTCATGCCACAGAGGTCTTTTCCCTCGAACGTTATTATTCAAATTGGATGATGGCCTGCGTTTTGCTACTAACATTTGGTCATCAGAGTCACTATGATCTTTTTTGTTACTATTGTGATTCTCTCTGTAGTCCTTGCTTGGTTCTTCTAAACTAGAATCAGACCCGTCACTTAAGCAATGACCAGTATCCCATGGGTGGTGAACATTATATGACCTCCTCTTCCTCCCTCTCCTTTTCCTGGCTTGGCGTTTCAGAGGACATGATATACTTCGAGAATGGTCTCCTGTCTCAGCAAATCCACCTCGAGCTTGTTCGGAACTCTCCTCTAATGCTGAGACAAGATCATGAACCAGTTCTTCCATGGTTCTACTAAAATGCCTGTATAAAGAGAAACAAAGAAAGTCATTCCTAGTCTTTATCTAGAGTTTGCCATAGTAGAAAATTCACTATAAATAAGAATAACTTTGTTATTACAAAAATATTTGAAAGTTAATTTATCTATTCAATGTATCCATCACAGTTTCAAATTTTGATTCCTTATTATGCCCCTTCTTGTATGATTTTTTTATTTTATGAAAATACTGTACAGAGGGGTTTCAATTTCATGGGCAAGATAATGAGTTCATTTCTTATCAAACATTGTAGCCTCATCTTTTGTTTCCCCTTCCCATCCCTTCCCAGCCTCCCCCAGCTCCCGCTCCCAATCCTCCACCCCCACACACACCAAAGTTGTAAAGTTCGTTTTTGACATAAGGACTTGTACATCTCATTGTTGCAATGGGTCCACCTATATCCCCATTTAAACAATTTGTTTTTCCCCTTCCCCTCCACAAATTATACGGACATCAAATACAGTGAAAGCAGGGGTTATACTGTGAGGGAGGGACACACATAGCAACAAAGAAATAAATCTTATAAATGTGTTAGAAACATCACATGAAAGAAAAAAACATTTGAATACATAATTTTTTAAATTAAATATAAGAAAAGCTGGGCATAGTGGCACCTGCCTATAATTCCAAGATTCAGGAAGTTGAGAAAGGAACATTATTAGTTGGAGACTAAATAGTAGTACATAGCTACATCTGGCTAAATAGTTAGACCCAGTCCTTATTAAAAGAAAAACCCTACATAAATAAAAAATAAACATAAAAATTATTTCATGTTAGAATAAACATAGTATAAACAACAAAAGTTCCCAATACTTTTGTATTTTTTACTATTTACTTATGGAAGTTATTCTACTTAAATTGTGCTTACCTAGTCTGCCCCTGGTCTTTTTCTAGAACAAATATAAACTTTCTCAGTGTGTTACCTACCCACTAATTTCAAGTCATGGAGGTATGAAATCTTCTATTCAGCTAACATTCTGAACAATCATTACCAGAATATTCAAAATAGAAACATATATTTAAGCCATGCCCATATCAACCCAGTAATGAAAACACAACATTCACCTTCAAACTGACTTGTACTAGTCTTCATGAATCCATTCTGAAGACATCTCTTAGGCAATTTTAGTAAGGATAAGCATCAGTGTTATTTAGGAGTGTTAATAAATTATGCAATTCCTTCCAACCTAATTTCTAATTATTTTAAGTTGGATGGTGTGACAAATAGCCTAGCAATTGATTATATCTTCTAAACCTTACAAATAGTTTACATATATATCTTTCTTATGAAAATCATAGGCAATCACTTTTTAGATGGAGTTTGAAAAGTACTCGGGATCAAATTATTCTCAACAATCCTCTAGGGACTTATATACTTTCTAAAGTCTACAGCCAGGTAGGCACACATTTCTGAAAAGCCAAATAATAAATATTTTAGGCTTTGTAGGTCATTAGGTACCTTACAATTACAATGCAAAATAACCACAATTCCTACACTAATTAGTAGACTTTTTATATAATGAAGTTTTATTTATAAAATTAAGTAGTGGCTAGCCATGGTTTCCCATCCTTTTAGTCTATATATAGTCTGTATAGTCACTACCTATAATGTCAGGATTGGCAAATTCTTTGAAAGTTTTTATTTTACTTAATGATAATCTAAAAACAGACACAAATAGTGATATAACTGAAGTTACCATTTATACAACCAGACAGCTTCTAATGCTTGAGTATTTACTATTTGTCAGTGCCCTGCTAAATATTTTATATGTATTTCCTAATTTCATTTTCATCCTGAATCCTATGGCATGGTAGGAAAGAGAAACAGAGAGCAAGGGATAGATAGACAGACAGACAGAGACAGAAAAAGACAGACAGAGAGAGACAGACAGAAAGGAAGACAGACAGGCAGAGAGAGCTCTGTTTCAACAGAACTTAACTATGTGGTAAAACAAAAAATTTCAAATAATTGAAATTCCAGCAATCTAGTTCCAAAGGGCCAATGCTAACTTAACCATAGCTAAGAACAGCTAGCCAATTCCACTGTCAGTCTGTAGTTTGTTTTTGTTTTTGTTTTTTTGACTTAGACCAGGCAGTACTACTTGTTGCCACATTATTAATGTGTGAAAGCTAAAGGATTCGGTTAAAATTACATTGTTTTAAAAGAAAAAAAAAGAGATGGGACAGCCAAATTAACACCAAGGAGAACTACAGCTGAAGGAATTAAACACAAAAAATCTAGTTTGTAGTGGTTAGAAGAATGTACATTTTGTACGCATTATCCTGCCCATGCAATTGTAACCCCTCTGTACAGTATGTTCACAAATAAAATAAAATTAAAATAAAAAAAGAATGTACATTTTGATTGATTAAGCTTGTAAGTTAATGTGAGCTTGTATGTTCCAGATCAATCATCTTTGCTAATCTGTAAAAACAAAAAGTTTTATTTGGGTACCTGGGATTCAAAATCCTGGTAGTGTAACAAATACACTTTAAATAAATTCTGGGGGGCTAGGAATGTGGCTTAGTAGTTACAGTGCTTGCCTAGCATGCATGAAGCTCTGGGTTCGATTCCTCAGTATGACATAATCAGAAAAAGCCGCAAGTGGTGTTGTGGCTCAAGTGATAGAGTGCTATCCTTGAACAAAAAAGAAACTCAGGGACATTGCCTGACAAGCACCAGAACTGACCAAAAAAAAAAAAAAAAAATGGGAAGACTGGCAGATTTTTTTCCTTTACAAGAAAATCCTGCTATCAGAATATAGCATTAAATAAAGAGAAATACACATCACAGAAGAATGGGTCATACTAGGACCAACAACATGGACGATTTTGATAAGCTACATGGATCTTTCCCATAATCCATATGTTAATAATTGACTTGACTTTCCCTTGATCTTTTCATTTACCACTAATTCTCCAGAAGAAACTATAGACATAATTCTGTACCTCTTAAAAAAAAAAATCACTTCAAGTTAGTTTAACATGTATTTAAATAAGGATTTCTTTTATAAAAGATTGTTCCAGAGTAACACACATGATTAGTTCTAAATAATAAAACATGAAATAAAATCAATGCATAAATATAGTATAAATTAAAATAAATATAATAAGATTCAAGTTTATTTTGAAGAAATAATTCAGAAAAGTTGGCAGTTTCTTTCTGTGTGTTTGGTTTTAGTTTTTAAAACAGCGTCTTGTCATAGTCCAAGCTGGTTTCACATCTGGAATCTCTAGTCTGAACTTTTCATATGCTGCTATTAGAGGCTGACATGAACAAGCCAGGCTTAATTGGTGGTCTTAACATTAATTTTGTTAATTATATGCCATTTAACTCACCAAAATCTGACACTCTAGTTTTTTCATTAAAAAAAGGATTGCTATATCTAACATTCTAACAAAATATAACCAAAAAATACAAAGAAATTAAATTTCTTTAGAATAGTCCAACTCTGCTATTTTTCCAAAAAATTATATGTAAAAAATTTTAAATTTATTGATATGGTTGAGTCAATTTACAGTTAGATGAATTAGATAATGAACACAATTCTTTTTGAATCATGTCTCCCCTTCCTTCCCTCTCTCATTTGGAACTCATCTGGAAATATTTTAAGTAAAATAAGCATTAAATAAAATGTTTATAACAACAGTTCACTAATAATATAGTTGTTTTCTTAGGAATAATACTGAAGAAAACTGACATACTATTATTTATTTGAATTTGGAAACTGTAAACTGGGAATGAACATACCTGCATGTTTTTTCAGGTGGTAATTGACTATGCTGAAAAATTATAACATGTCTGACAAACTAAGATTTGATAAGCCATTTTATTTAACAAACTTTTGGTCAAATGTCAAATTTGCTTGTCTTTTTCTAGGCAATAGTAAATATCCAGTGAATTATTGACCTTGGGTTCTTCATCACCAAGCTCTCATCATTTCAGAAAAAGTCATCCTAAAAAAAATGTTTAAGCACCAGCAATATCAGCTGATGAAGAGAACAATATACTATTAGGGGATTCCTTTAAAGGCCTTTGGTTTAAGAAGCATTAGGAACCTGCCTTAGTTCTACCTTTTTGCTTACCAGAAGATGGAAGTTGACTGACTGCCCGAGAAGAGTTATTTTTTTGCTCACTAATTTAAATAGAAACTCACTGCATAACCCACATTGGCCTCAAAGTTGGGATTCTCAAGCTAAATGGTTTTATTAGTGGAGAACAAAATGTGAATTACCTATTCTGTAAGTACATGTTTATTTTCTTGTTAAAAACTTAAAGAAATCTCCTGGATTAGATTTTGTATAAATACAATTTCAATGATAGACAATGAAGCCAGATGCAGTGGCTCAAGCCTGCCTGTAATCCTAGCTACTTGAGAAATAGAAAAGGGAATATGGTTTGAAGCTAGTCAGGGCAAAAATAAAACAAAAAAATTCTCAAGAGCTCCATCTTGACCAATGTCAATGGCATGCATGCACCAGCCACCTAAACTTTGTGGTGAAGCACAAACTGGAAGAACATCATCCAAGTAAACTTGGGCATAAACTGAGACCTATCTAAAAAAGAAAAAAACAAAAACACATATACATACACATACACAAAACAAAAAGGACTAGCAAAGTGATTCAAGTGGTAGAACAAGTGCAAAGCAAATACAAAGCCCTAAGTTCAAATCTCCAATACTGGTGTTTTGTTTTTTTAAAGTACACAGTGAAGAACTTTGTATATTATGACTTCCCATGCACTTTTAGGAAAGCAGTCATAAAATTACATGGTATTTCTACATTAAGTTACCTTTTATTGATATTAGGAAATATTAAGATCCTCTAAGAACACAACATAAAGCCATTGTACAGCTTTATGAAAATGGGTGACTAAATATGCAAATGGTAAACCTTAAAGATTCCACACTGAGGGCTACATGGGCTACCTTTATGATTAAACACATGATCCATAAGAACTATCTTAATTCAAATTTCTGCTATAAACTTCCTTCCTTAAAGATACTGTTATTTACCAAAATAAATATTTATCAACAGTGTGGGTTAGGATTGTGGTTCAGGGGCAGAGCAATTGTCTTGAAAAAAAAAAATCAATGGAGATTCAATCTCCATCACACACACACATACACACACACACACACAAAATGAACTGAAATTTTCTTTTTATATGTTTGTAGGGTAAGGCCATTTCAGGAAATGAAAATCCTAACATTAAACTTATACTAGTGCAGAAATTCCTTGACCTATATATGTAAACTATTAATCAGAAATAACCTTTCAGCATCCTTTAGAAAGAGGTAGGAGAAGTATCTTTTTATAAAAGATGTAAATTATTGGGATTTTATATTAACAGTAGGCAATAAATATAAAGTTGAACTCTCTAGAGAAAAAAGCACTGGTAGGAAAATCAGAAAATCCAATTAAAAATCCAAGTTTTGAATCTGCAAGCTATAGTCTTTATTCATTCATTCATTAGTTATAAGACTTGGACAATTTACTTATTTTTTGATTCTGTTTAGTCATCATGAAAAAGAATGGCAATTTTTATCCCTAAGGGATTTTGTAAGTATATAAGAGCAGGTACATACTGTTGAGAGAAGTTACTTTATCTTTCAACAATGCCTCAAAAATAATAACCACTCTGCTTTTAAAGTAATTTTACTATGGATCCTAAAGTTAACCATACTAAAAGCAAAAGCCTTCAACCTTCTTTGGGTCATGAAGCATTCTGAATAGCAGAGAAGAGGAGACTACAGAAATATGCAAAGCTGTTTTATACAATTTTAGGAAGTTCATGGATTCCTTAAGAATCCTATTAAACTAAAACCAGAATCCAAAATTCCCAAGTGGTGGGAGGGGGGAAATATCTAACCTACTTTAATATATAGTTATAAACAAGAAAAAAGGGATTAAAAAAGATAGTACTTCCCAGTTAAAAAAGCTTCTCCACCAAATAAAATTTCATTTCTAAAAGGAGAGCAGAAGCTCCCTGACTTGTGTTCAATTGTAGACACTTCTGGCAGCTCCTACTTTGTTAACACAGGAGCACTCAGGAAGCTTCCTGTTCTAACCATGATGATTTGTTGGGGGGAGTGGGGGAGAGGGAGGAAACAGTCTAATTCTACTTTGCAAATTAATGATTTAGTAAGGCAAGCTCATTATTTATGCTTGAAGACCATTTTTTTGTTTGCTTCATTTAATGGCTTCAAGACTCACTCAAAGCTTCTTATTCTTCTAATTGTTTTCAAAATATAAATAACTGATTTTAAAACTGCCTAAATGAGTCAATCAAATAAGATAAAAAAATTAGATTAAAAAATATTCTAATTCTTATCAACAAACATTCTAGTATCCTATGCAAGTTATGGTAGGATAAGAAACATCCTATCACATATGTTACTGCCTAATAAATACTGACCAGCCTCAATTCCTAGGCTAGGAATGAGAAAAAAACTGAATTATTAATTAGTAGTACCTACCATACTTCATGATATGTAATAGATGTTTTAAAACAAATATCTAGGATAAACAAATCAATGAAAGATTAAATAAAGGAGCAAATAATATAACAAAGGAAAAACATAACAGCTAAAGTTTTAGAGTATTTACATTTCATACTTTCTGCCACAATAACAACTTAGACACTCTTTAGTTTTAAGTAAATGTGAAGGTAGGTGCAAATTACCAAAGATAGTGCAAAGTTTTCTAGTCTGTCATAAATAAGAATGCTAAGGCCCTCTACTAAAACGGAATTTTCTCCAAATCATATTGTCTGTTACTTTGATCCTTAACTGAAAGATAATCTTGGATCAAACAAACCAACAGGAAGAAACAGAATATGAAGTACAGGTAGATCAAGAAGTTAAGAGGGTCATTTAAAAAGAAAGCAGTCACCCTACTAATCAATATAACCATGATAAGAGAAAAACAATCTATGTAGCATATGTCATCTACTTCCCTTTTCAAGATACTAACTGGTGAATCATTAGAAGCCTACACTCCACAGATAATGACAGGGTAGTGGAAAAATTCTCTATCTCGTATGGTGTGATGGTTACACAAGTACAAATAACCATCAAAACAAGTAAAAATAAGTACTTAAAAACTTTGCCTTTTATTCTTAAGCTAATTATACCATTAAAAATGGCTCATGAGCCCTCCTTCATTGAAAATTGTATTTAAAAGTAGCTTAACCAAATCATAAACTATAAAATCACCCGAACCAACTTGAAATAACCCGAGTAAGATATTCTTTTAAATCTTGTAATTGATGCAATGTTTTCATTAAAGATTACTGACCACTAGAATTCCTCAAGCTTTATTTCAGCAAAATCTGAGAATAGAGCTCTTTCTTTCACCCACTGGTCATAACTCCAAGGACCATCAGTGTAAATTTCCTTATTTGTCTCACAGATTATATTGTGCATACTCATAGGAAAAAGGATTGGAAGAAAAAGGATTGGAGAACTCCAAATTCCAGCTTCTAGTTCCAGAATTAAAATGGGCAAGGAAGGCAACGTTGGACAACTCACCTGAAGTCTTCTGCGCCTATGATATATACTCTGGTGTCACGGGGCTGATACAAGAATAGGGTGTATTTTGTGAAAGTGATTTGACGTGTTAAAAACAATATGTTATTCTAACGTGTCATTGGTGAGGTGGTAGTATAGATACGGTCAAACCCCAAACTTAACTCCTGGCATTTAAGTCCTTAGACAACACACATGCTCATCTCATTTGGACCAAAGTGGGGGTGTAGGAGACTAAGAGATTGCTGTCTCTTCCATCACTGATATTCCAGAACTCTGGATTTCTGGGATTCCATCTTCCAGGAACCTTTCTGCAAACCTGGTCGTTCAGGGATGGGTGTGGAAGAGTCAATTGTGCATGCAGATAAAAGTATTCCAGTCTCGAACCCTGGTCAGCAGTTCAGGGGGAGGTCAAACCCTCTCTAGCACAGCGAGCTCAACTCCCAAATACGTCAGACAAGTAAGGGCAGGCGTTTACACACCTTTAGTACACACCCAAATGCCTCCCAAGCACCGGTGGAGGGAGCCAGGCCGCGCGTCTCGGGAGCGTCCATCAGCACGCCCTCCCCGTGCGGCCCAGGTCCAGAGGTCCTCCCCTGCCACCCCACCCCACCCCGCACACACCCCACGCCCGCCGGCCATCACACCCCTTCCGGAGGGCCCAGCCTCACCAGCTGTTCCCGGCGGCTGGAGCTCCGTTCGGTGGGCGCCCGGTGGCCCCGAACATTAACGACACCCAGGAGCCTGGCCTGGAGGCTCAAGCCCGAGTACTGACGCCAACTACCTCAGCCCCAGCCCGTTCCAAAGAGCGGTTCAGCATTTTGAGAGGCACTTCCGGAAGCTGCCTGGAGACGGAACCGGAAGTTGGAAGCAACCATGACTTCTCCACACACCCCCCCCCCCACATCCCCTCCCCCCCTCCCCCCCCCCCCCCCCCCCCCCACCATACACATTCCCACTTCTTTCTCTGACTGGAGATACTCCCTTTAGACGGGGTGACGAGAATAAACGTGACTTTTGAAAGCACAGGAAATTCTCTTCCCAGTCATCTGAAGACCTGGAAGCGGCGAGAGGAAAAAAGGGTGCACGAAAAGGCCACCCCCGCCTGGAACTGGCCCATGGTGTCGCCCGGTTGTCATGGAGACCGACAGAAACACCGGGGCCCATTCCTGGCCTGGCGGCCATGGCCACTCTAGCTCGGCTGCAGGCTCGGTCGTCGTTTATAGGAAATCAGTATTACTTTAGGAACAGGTAAGTCATGAAGAGTGGAAAGCCACTTGTTTTGCAGCGGGAGCTTGCTATTTACGAGTCCCTTCTCCCAGATCTTCCCTGAAGTAACTGCCAACAGTTAAGGGTAAAGAACTCTGCCAACCCCAGGCGAGTGTAGACGGAGGAAGGCCGTGCATCCTCCAGTGGAGATCATTTAAGGAAAAGCTGGGCATAGATAAAATCATAAAGTGATTCGTTTTTCTTCTACGTCATTTCCCCACAATTTTAGGAAATCTTTTTTTATTCTCCCTGTGGAAGATCCAGAGGCCTGATTGGTATCATTCAAGCTGTCCAGCTCCATGAGCTCAGTGTGTCCCTAAGTCCCCTGTCTGCTTAGGAATTTGAGCCTCTGTGGTTTCACAAACATGATGGAACACAATTATTCTAGGACTCATTTATCTTAAAGTGAAAGTATCTAAATCAATGTAAAATGATAATCAGTACCAATGTATCAATTAATAATTAATGAAAGAGGGCCAAGGAAGACACTGTGAGCATTTGCTATTTTCCTATTCCCACACTTCTGGCCTAGGAGGAGGTGCATTTAAACAGTAGCCTCTTTCCAACTTCAAAGAATACTGTGATGGAATACAGTGCAAAGACTGAACACTGAACAAAAATCTTGCTGAGCAGTTCTTAACATTTATTTCATCTAATGTATTATAACTGTGAACCTCTTAACAGCACATTGAATTGCACCTCACTTCTTGCTAGAAGCAAAAACAGGATCTCTTTTATCTCTATCATTATTTCAGTATCTCTCAGTTTCCTGATGCTGTTCTAAATATTGAAGATATAACACACAACAAAAAATCATGACAGAAACAGAACATTAAACCTATATATAGTATTTTACCTTGTACTAAGTGTAAAAGAAGTAATGTCTATCCAGATCCCTGACAAGTTAGCTCAACAATAATTATTCACTAAATAACTCCACTAATAAATCAACCAATCATTGTTTTTGTTTAAATATACAAAAATAGCTAGCTATGAAGTATTCATCATAACAGTTGTTTATCACTCATTGAGAATATGTGGCCACACATTTATTTGTGACAAAAATGTATCAGTGAAACAAGTTCCATCCCCCATGATACTCTCAGCCTAGTATAGAATATAGGCACTTAAAAGATTATAATAAGATGGATAGTAAGGGAAACATCTAACATTTCTTTCAATGATTTCTTCAATATTGGTAACAAGATGAGGACAAGGTGCTACCTAATAGCTGGCACTAAAATGAGGCTGATGATGAAAAAAGCTTTGTTGAGAATATATTTTGCTAAGTAATGAGATAGGTGATTTTTCCAAGTTAATTTTTCACCCTTAAAGTCTACTTGCTATCATTTTAATCTTATTTTTCATTATGTCTAATAGCAAAAAAAGCACTTTTAACCAAAGCTTTCCTGAAAGGACTGAGATTTGAGAACCATAGCTTAAAGCTAGCCCATGCATAAGGGTTTGTAAGACTCATCTCTAATTAATTAAAAAAGTAGAACTGTGGCTCAACTGGTAAAGCACCAGCCTTTGGTGACAGCTAAGGAACCATGCCCAAATACACTCACTCTCTCCCCCACCTCTCTCTCTCTCTCTCTCTCACACACACACACACACACACATCTAAGAAAGTTACAATGGGTCCTTTTCATTATTGTGATTGATATTTAAGCCTTGCACATATCACCCTTTTCAAAGCTACATTTAAATTTAGTTTATCATAATTCCTATGTATACATTAGTTTAAACATTAAATGAATTTTTTCTGACATTTCTCCTAAGAACTTAATATATTCTAGTAAAAGTCTCAATACTATAATTGTGAATAAGATAGTCACTGAGTAGCTCAATCTATCCTGTTCTCAATATGAGGTTAAATCAGGCAATAAAAAATCATGAGGGAAGCAAATCTTAAACTTATAAGTGTTATGAATGTCAGAAGGAATAAAACAAGGTAAGGTAAACACAGTGAACCAAGATGCTGTTTTGTATAAAGCATCTAGAGGAGCTCCTGATCAGGTGATGTTTGTTCATAAATCTAATCTACAAAAAGAATGAATAATTTGGCATCTAGATAGATATGTCATGACAGTGTAATCAAAAGCCAGAAATTTTCAAGAATGTGTCAGAGGACGGTGTTACCAGAGCAGAGTGAGGAGGTTATAAAAGGTAGAATGTAGGCCAAAACATTTAGAATTCTTCAACTATCATAAGGATATAGGCTTTTATTCTTATCAATACAGGAAGTTATATCAGATTTTTCAGCAGTGGACTGACATAATCTCTGTCTATAAAATAAATAATAAAGTAACCTTTAACTTTAAATTGGATATGGCATTTTGCTTCTGTTTTCCTATTTTCTTTTCACTTCCTCCTTTTATTAGTATCTTAGTATCCTGGTATCTTAGTAGTTCTTGACAAAATTCAAGTCAAATTTTCTTCTATAAATCAAAATTAAATATCATTTGAAATAATTTTAAACCATTTATAATTTTTCAGAAAAGTAAGCAGAAATATAGCTAGAAATCTTTTTAAATTTGCTTAGATGAATGTGGAAGAATCAGCTGAAGGGGAAAAGGGCTAAAAATTCTACAGAGACAGTTATAGAAATCCTGTATAGGATTGTCAGAAATTAACATGAGCTTATTTCTACCACCTACCTATTAGACCCCATTCAGGCTTTGCCGTTTTTCCTAATATTTTTGTTGTTGTTGTTGTTGTTGTTGGGCTTGAACTCTGGGCCTGGGTGCTGTCCCTGTGTGCTTCAGCTCAAAGTGAGCGCTCTACCGCTTGAGCCACAGCGCCACTTTCGGTTTTCTACTGGTTTATTGGAGATAAGAGTCTAACAGACTTTTCTGTCTGGTCTGGCTTTGAACCGTGATCATCATATCTCAGCCTCCTGAGTAGCTAGGATTACAGGTGTGAGCCACCAGTGCCTGACTTCCCTCATAGTTTTTTGTTTTTGTTTTTTTTGTCAGTCGTGAGGCTTGAACTCGGCCTGGGCACTGTCCCTCAGCTCTTCAGCTCAAAGATAGCGCTCTACCACTTGAGCCACAGCACTACTTCTGGCTTTTTTTTTCTTTTTGCTTATGTGGTGCTGAGGAATCGAACCCAGGGCCTCAGGCATTCAAGGCAAGCGCTCTACCACTGAGCCAACTTCCCAGCACCCCATCATGGTTTTTGAATGAACAACCTAAACAGAACCTAAAGAGAAACTAAGGTGTAACCCAATAGTATTTGTAGCAAAGGAGTCTGCTTTTTCTTTTTCTTTTGTGTGTGTGTGCTGGTATCAAGGCTTGAACTCAGAACCTCAGTACTTTTCCTTAGCTGTGGTTCAAGGCTTGTGCTCTACACTTGAACCACGGATGTGGTTAATTGGAGATAAGAATCCCACATACTTTTTTTGTGGGTGGTTGGCTTTGAACCACAATCCTCAGATCTCAACTTCCTGAGTATCTACACTTAAAAGTATGAGCTACTGGAACCCAGCTCTTTTCTCTTGTAGTTATCCTGAGTTTGAAAACCTTTTCCATCTTTTATTTTTATGACCTTGACACTTTTGAAGATTCTCAGTCCTTTGAAGATTCTAGATGAGTAAATCCTCAATTTGGATTTTTCTGTTTTCTTCAGGATTAGAAGTTACTTACCCATTATTGTCAGGAATATCATATACTTGTGTAATACTGGGATCTCATGGGTTTCCTACTAGATACTATATGATGCTATCCCATTAGTGATGGCATCCATTTGGATTGCTTAACGTGTGTCCACTAGACTCTACAATGGAATATTCTTCGGTTTCCCTTGTAATTAATAGTGTCTTATCCTTACTTATTCATGCTTCAGATGTCCCAGATTTGACCAGGGGAGGGACTCCGGGCTTTCTTCTGTAACACTTCTTGGCTTGCTGACACAAGAAAATAGTCCAGGTTCATCTACACTTTTTCTGCTCTGGTTCTGATCCATCATTTCTCAGCAGAGATTTTTCTTCTCCTTTTGGTAAAACTAAATTCCTATTGGGTGTTGCGGCTCTTGGAGCCTGACAGCGAACTCTGTGTGTATGTGTGTTCATACACATTTTACATCTGTATTATGTCAGTCATATATCTATTAAAATCCATGAGTTCTCATTGACAACTCTTAATTTAGCACCATAGGATTCATTTTAATTTTTCTTCTTCCTCTTTTTCTGTTTTTAATTTTTTGAAAGATAATCTTTATGTGTGGCCCTAGCTAGTCCTCAAGTTTTGAACTCAAACAAACAGCCCCTCAGCCAGGCACATGCCTGTAATCCCCATGAGACTCTAATCTCCAATTAACCACCACAAAACCAGAACTGGCACTGTGCCTCAAGTGGTAGAGCACTAGCCTTGAGCTGAAGAGCTCAGGCAGGGCCCAGGCTCAGAATTCTAGCCCCACGACTGCTCCCCTCCCAAAAAAAAAAAAAATCCTCCCCTTTCTCAGTTCCCGGAGTAGTTGGGGACACCAGATTTGAAATACTATACCTGACTTCTCTCCTATTCTCAAAGTACAAGCACAAAACAAGCAAACAACAGCAAAACCTGGCCCCTACTATTTTTATTTTGTGTACTTATTTGATCTATTTCTGATTATCTGTGTTGGCTACTTCATATGTAGACCTTTCTTCACCTTCTCTGACCTCTTCAAGCCATACCTTCTCTTCATGGAATATTGCCCATATTAAGCTCAGATTGTGGAGCCTACCCCATGTGGAACTCTCATCCTGCACCCTCTATGCAACAAACCACCTACTTTATTTGCCTGCTGTCAATGGCTTTAGGACTTAATTTGTTCAGGAAATGAACTGAGAGGGAAGATGATAACATAAATATTTTAAAATAAGGAACTATGATAATTTCTACTTGATCTCATGCATATTTGCCATCTTTATTGACTGAGTTGAGAAGAACAACAAAGACAGGTAGTGAAAGACAAAAAGTACACCATAGATCTAAAGTCCT